TTGCATGCCTATACTTCCTGCCCTGGAGTAACATGACCTCTCATGTGAGCAAGTGTGGCCTATAGCATAAAACACCACATGGAGTGGACTTAGTAGTCTCCATAAAGAACCATCCTACTTCTGTTTTTGTGATTTAGAACAGACATTTATCCTGCCAATCCTGAGAACAACTCAGGCTGAGATCTGAGAACAACTCAGGTTGAGATCAGTTGATTGCTCCCCAGATCACCATAAATATCCACCTAGCCCAGGAATCTGTGTTTGAGAGTGCTAGTTTGAGGTTATTTGTTATTTGGCCATAGTCAAATATACAAAGGTAACAGGTACACAGATGAGGGCTACTGAACACAGGCCTAGAGTACACAAGAGGGGTAGGGAAGAGTCCATATATTTTACTGCTTTAGTTTTTGAATTTCTGTCTATTATTTTCATCTAGCTGAGCTTCCTGCCTCCTATTGGCTTGGTTAAGATACATTAAGGAATTTGCCATTAGCACATTTTTTTCAAATTGGTCCTGGCTTGCCATCCTAAAGATGGCTTTAGGATACCTCAATAGAGTTTATTGGATAACTGTTATGGGGGTTATCAATTTGTGCAGAGATTCCAATCTTTCATTTTGGAGATAATCCTGTGAACCTGAATTCTAAATCACAGGGGTTTAAAGTTTCCTTTTTCAAGCTAGATATTTTCAGGTTCCTGAAACTTGTATATGTTAATTTTCAGGTATATGGTGACATTCTGGTTTTCTTTATTTTTTAAATTATCTTGTTTCTGATTGAGAATAGTATTAGCATATATGATATTTTTCTCTTGTCAGGAAGGTGATTTAATTAGAAAAAAGAATGGTCATTATTGCCTTTTGTTTATAACTTTTTTTGTTGTTGTTTTTGCTTAAACTAGTTTGAATATACTCAAGACTCCTTGATCCTGGAAATCTGATTCCATTTTCTCTGAGGACAGCTGTAACCTCAAAGAAAATTTATTTGCCAAAAGAAGTGAAAGAATATTTTAATCTTTAATTTGAGAAACAGTAGTGCTATAAGTAAGACAATAATACTATACCAGGGACAAGGAAGAGATAAAAAATTAAGAAAGTGAGAATATACACTTAAGGCTATCTGCTCTAGTCTGATAAGTTAAATGTTTAAATTCAACATTCTATTACTTTGAGATCATTGAAATTCTTTTGATTAATTCTGCAAAAGCTTGTTTCACTTGTGTGTTCCTCAGGGTATAAATAAATGGGTTTATCATGGGGGCAACTGAAGTAGTAAGCACTGACATGCCCTTATTAATTGCCACTTGGTCTTTTGGTGAAGGTTTGATATAAACAAAAATACAGCTCCCATATGTGATAGAAACCACCAGCATGTGAGAAGAGCAGGTAGAGAAGGCCTTCATCTGTTG